GCCGCCCTGAGTCCTCCCGGAGAAGGGTGGCATACAAATAATAAAATACAAATACAAATACAAATATATCATGACACATCAAAATGTTTTTTGCCTTTGTGGAGCCAGGATGGCCATGGTTTTCTCATGACGCATCTGTCCACAGGCCGCCAGTTTGACAGACCTGATCTACATGCTCAATGGTATCTTAAAACCATGAACCAATAAATAACCATTAAAACCATGCCATCATTCATTTAAGTAACATTGAACCATGCCCTTTAATGTTGAACAATGCACTTTAGTCAGTGTTCCTCCCTTGAATTAACTTAGATTTGCTTCCAAAATGAGATTAGAATTACAACCTAAATGTTATTATGCCATTTGTTTTTAATAAATTGGAAATCAATTTATGTTTGTAATCAACTGTCAGTTGATGAAAATTCCTGGCTGGAATTCTGGATGCCCCCTGGCAATCAGAGATCCGTTCATTGTTTGTGCTAAGCTAAAACAAAGTAACCACATTATAGCTTAGCCTTAGAGCAATGTGTCAACTATGTAACATGGTTCTCATTGAAGGTGTTATTACTATCATCAGAAATATGTCTATTCATTGTAATATTACTGTACGGAAGAAAGGATCTGGTCTTGTATTTCTATGCCATTCATTGGGCATACATATCTTTAAAGTATTCTACCCAGGATTGAAAATAAGTTGTCAAAATTTTAAGAGTCACATTGACTTTTAATGATGACTTCTCTCCAGTTACATCTACTTTAGCCCATCAGAACAGGAAGGCAAAGTAAGCTACAGGGCCCAGGGAAGTCCATCTGGTGGGACACAGAAAAAGAGCCTTTTTGGGGGTGGCACCCTCCTTTTGGAATATTAGAGATAAGACTGGGCCTTTCCTTGACACTTTTCAGAAGAATCTGAAGACATGGTTCTGTCAGTGGAGCTGGGGACCCAAGGGTGATATCCAATCAAATGGTTGGTGTGATTGCTCCTGTTGCTGCTGTGGGGGGTGGCAGTGGGGCACAGGTTTTTACATTGTGGAATTTTAATGTTGTAAGCCACCTAGAGTGTGTGTGAGTCGGACAGACATACAAATGCATTTAATAAATCAAATAACTTATCAGACATAAAAAATAATTGCAAAGCCAGTCAAGAATAGCCACTAGTCCCAGAATTCGTACATAGCAGAGTGACCGGTTCTGCTACTGTGAATTACACCAGTTGCTCTCCCATCTGCAGGTTGGGAAGGTTATTAGACTGTGGCCTGCTTTACCAAAACACATAACATATGTTACAAATCAATTTCCAAGAGAGAGCAGCCTGTGGCCCTTATGACAATGTTGGAATATTAAAAAGAATCATCCTTGATCATTGACCATATATGAGGAGGCTGATGCAGTTACACCTGCAGCTTCAATTCTGGCTGCCTCTTCCAATGTCAGACTGTTTAAAGCAGGTCTACTGAGCTAATCATTAAAATGAACCATGTTCCCCCCCCCCAACTAAAAATATACTTACTGTCACTGAAGGTCCATGCTGAGAGATAGTCACTCCATTCTCCCTTGGACTTACTATTTATACGGACTCGGCACATGTACTTATGCCTGGGTTCTAGTCTGTCAATAACCAAACTGGTCTGATTTCCTGGGAGTTGTATAGTGGTAGTATGCTCCCCATTTACATCCACCACACTTTTATTTTCTACTTCAATGCGGATGTCTTCCTCCAAGTGTTGGTTGATTGGCTGCCATGACAGTTTTAGAGCCGTTGTACTATTGGGAACTAGGAGTAGCCCTCTTGGTGGAGAAAGACCTTTAGAAATTACAACAAAGAACATTAGTATGGCTAGAACACCTATTAACCTAAGAAGATTCTTGTTGGATCATAGTAAGAATCAAAACTTCATAGTGAGCAATCAAAACTTCTAGCCAGACACAAACCATACAGGCTTTTTCTTTTGTCAGATGTCCATAATTAAATAGTTAGAGATGTTCTAACTTGGAGTAAGTATTCCCTATCATAATTCTGCATATGATGAATTAGGGACATTATTTTATTATTCAATTAGTTATGCCCGGTGAACCAATTGGAGCTTGAGAACTATCTTCTGTCCTCATCCTAGGGCTCTTAAGAAGAGGGAAAACAAAAAGAGGCAATAGCCCCTATAAGTTGTGTTCTCAGAGATATGAAGATCTCTCTTAACATTTCAATGACTGGCCTTATTAGACATTAAACTGAACAATCACTTAAAGATCACTGTTCTTAACAATTGGGTTTCAGTGGCTCATCAGTAGTAACTTGGCTCTTCATAGTATTTGCAATCGGAAATGGGATGATAAATGCAAAACCTTCAGCCCTCTCTTCTCCTACAAGTGGTGGAGGAGAGACAGCAAAGGGTTTGTGAGCAAGGCACAAAAAGACATATCTGCTAGAATTTAGCATGTCTGCGAGAAATACTATGGACTAGTGAGTCTCAACTTTCTTGACTTTAAGAGATGTGAACTTCAACTTCCAGCCAGCATGGCTGATTGGGGAATTCTTGACGCTGAAGTTCATATATCTTAAAGTCACCAAGGTTGAGAAACACAGCTAAGGACTCCAGGGAAGTCATGCTGAGATGCTGAACTGAGGAGATATAATGAGAAACAGGAGTCTATGGGAATAAATCTTTTGAAACTTCATTTATTCTCAACCTGGATGTAAATAGTCCTTACATTTCAGATACATCGTTAGTCTTCAGTAACTTCTATCCAAGGAAACTTGTTAAATAGTGGTGCTCCTGAAATTCAAATTACTATACACTATGTTTGGGAAATGGTGGCTCAGTGGCTAAGACACTGAGCTTGTTGATCAGAAGGTCAGCAGTTCAGCGGTTCAAATCCCTAGCACCGCCTAATGGGGTGAGCTCCCGTTACTTTTCCCAGCTTCTGCCAACCTAGCAGTTTGAAAGCATGTAAAAAATGCAAGTAGAAAAATAGGGACCACTTTGGTGGGAAGGTAACGGAGCTCCGTGCACCTTCAGCATTGAGTCAGGCCGGCCACATGACCACCGAGATGTCTTTGGACAGCACTGGCTCTTCGGCTTAGAAAAGGAGATAACCACTGCCCTCTAGAGCCGGAAACGACTAGCACACATGTGCGGGGGAACCTTTACCTTATGTATAGTAATTTATATATGTTTGTGTGTGCAAAGCAACTACTGACTGACAAATATCCCCTTTACAGAAGTCCAAAGATTTGCATACCAACAGCAGCTGTAACAAAGTTGGTTGGTGGACCAGGGTGTCCTGCGCCCCCCTCTCCTCTACGAGTCAGGCGAACACATACAGAGTACAGCGTTTTTGGTTCTAGATTGTTTAGTCGCCAGGGGTCTGTTGTGACTGAGTTTCAAAGGAAAATAAAAATAAAAATAGGAAAATAATAAGGAAAGCTTTAGAAGTAGATAAACATATTTATTTTGTTCTAATGTCAGTTGTTCCCCTGTGAAATAATGCAGAAAACAGTGTAAACTATGCATGCAAACAGAACTGGGATAAGAGTCTGCATCACAAACACCATCCTTTGTCACCCCAGGCAGCTTTCTGAACTGGTGAAAAAGAAATGGTAGCAAAGACAAACTGGTTTACATATAATAAAATTTTATCTTTCAACTTGGGTGACCCAATATTAAAGCCGAGGGAAAAACTTGAATCAGAAGGTTATGTTTGCCATTGGTTTATTTATCAACAACTGAAAGGAAGATTTCAACTGAATAAAAAGTGCTATAGATGTGACTTTGTTAAAAATGTATTTTTAACAAAGTGCTATTTTATTATGTGGAAACGCTGAACATATTATTGTTAAAATCTATACAAGGTTATTAAGATTGAATTTGGAAAATGAATATGTAAAACATTGTATGATTCAGGGGGCAAGGAATTTTGGATATAATGTGATGCTTGAACAATGGGAAAATATATGGACAAAGGGTTTAAAATGTACATTAAATTATAATCTAAAAGAAATTTTCTATGAGAATATGCATTATTGATTTAACACCAGATAAGTTATCTATATCATGGTATGTCAAATATCAAGGAATGTTGGAAGTGTAAAAGCAAAGAAGGGACTTTTAATCATCTGTGGTGGACATGTAATAAAGCAAAAAAATGGAATATGATTCATATTTTAATACAGAAAATTTTGAAGATGGAGATAAAGATGAAACCAGAACTTTTCCTTTTGAATCTAATGAAAAAACACCAGGAGAAAAAAATTGGAACTTCATTGATGGAAGGAAAAAGGAATTGATGGAATTGGCTGAAATGGCAAAATTAACTATTTTGATTAAAGAAAGGAATATAAGTACTTTTATTTTCACATGGAGAGTGCTTCCGAACATTGTGCTTGAAGTGGAAATTTTGATTTTGAGTTTTACCGATTAGATTGATAGCTCTTTATAGAAATAGCTTGTTCATATTATTACGAAAAAAAACATAATCTTTCCCTGTCTTCCTCCCCACTGTTTTTCTTTTTACTTTCATAATTTGTATTTTATTTTTATCTTATTACTCAATAAAAATGTTAAATCACAGAC